TGGTAGCACTCACAAGCCCCCGTTCCCAAGCCTGTTTGCATTGGTAGCTAGCACTGTTCTGGATTACACAGAATACCCTAGAGGTCCACCAAGCTGTGAATCAGAACACAGCAGCAGGGGCGTTTGATGGCTGTCTCTAGGAAAGTGAGCTGAAGGATGTGGAAAGCCAAGGCGGAGGGAGCTGCTGGCAAATGAGGTGTGGATGAGATAAATGCAGATGATTAGGGCAGAAGAGAAAACCCTTAAAGCCTAGACTAACTCTGTCCTCAGAGCGCTTTGCAAACGTCTTGAAATTCTCACCCGGCTTTAAGGTGGAAACCTCAGATAATGCCTTCGGGTGTGGTTTGCACAAAAAAGACAGTCAGGGCTTCCTGCGCAGAGAAATGCTCTTGGCTCCACATCAAAACACTCTCTGTGAGGACGGACATGTGTTTTAGGTTTAAACTGGTGGAGCTGGGTCGTTCATAGGCTTTCCATGCTTTCACCTACGTTCGTGATTAAGTCACTGATCATCCTGGTCAGGAACAGAAGTTCGTCCTAATTTCTTTCAGAGAAAAGGTAATTATTGCTTTGCGTTCAATATTTCATCTTACAAGCCCTAGCCAGACGGGTTATCCCTTGCGCCGCTGGCCTGCCACCCATTCGATATTCTGATGCATTTCCTCAGTGTCACCTGAGTAGTGGTTTAGGTGACAGCTGACACAAATCCCAGTCTGACTTTTGTTTGTTTGCTTTGCTTGATTTAAGGGTTTGTTGTTGTTGTTGTTGTTGTTTTTAAGATAGGGTCTCATGCAGCTTCAACTCTCCATCCTCCTGCCTCAGCCTCCCGAGTGCTATAGTTGCAGGTAGTGCCTGGCTGGCCTGCCTCTGAAATACCAGGAAATTGAAAAACTTGACTCAGTGGCCTCTTCTTCCTTTCCCTCGTACTTTCTCTTTGTTGTTGGAGGCTGCTTATTGGTTCCTGACTGCTCAGCCCCGAATAATCACACAGAAACTATATTATTTAAATCACTGCTTGGGCCACTAGCTCTAGCTTCTTATTGGCTAGCTCTTACACATGAATTTAACCCATCTCCATTAATCTGTGTATCACCATAAGGTTGTGGCCTACCAGCAAAGTTTAAGCATGTCTGTCTCCAGCAGTGGCCCCATGGCTTCTCCCTGTCTCCGCCTTCTCTCTCCCAGCATTCAGTTTAGTCCTCCCCCCCCCAGCTAAGTTCTGCCTTGCTATATGTCCAAAGCAGTTTCTTTATTAATCAATGGTACAGAGAGGAAATCCCACATCACCCCTTCCTCATTTTCTCTACTTCCCTCCTCTTCTTCCTCCTCATTTCCTGATCTCCCCCCCAAAAAAACAGAAAATGATTGACCCCTGACCTTTCCAATTATCACATATTTCTTCACCCCAGGGGAGACTGCATTGTTCACTACTGATCACACCTCAAACATCCAGCCCTATCTTGGCCGCTCTCACACACAGGCAGTTTCTGAGCCCGCTTCCTCTCACATCTGTCCTTAGGGCCCTTTTCAGAGTCCCCAAGAGGCCCCAAGAGCAGTCACCCTTCTCGCTCTCATTTCCTCAATCCCTTTGGGTTGTATTTCTAAGTGGAATGGCTGACAGGCTTAAAGTAATAATACTTTACTGGAGTGTATATCAAGGAAAGGAGAAGCTGATGTTTCCAAAGACTAAAACCAGACACTTGACCTAAGGCCATGGACTGTAAAACCCTTAAAATGATCCAGACCTCTCCTCCATAAGACCTATAAAATTCACCATCTCACTGTAATGGCCCTAATTACATCTGCATTTCTTCAAAAACTACCGTTCAAAATAAAAAACGGCCAAATCCACTCTATTTTCTGCCAATGTAACCACCTCCTTGGCATTTAGTAGTTTTGCTTCCGCCTGTGTTTTCATTGGAAACGTGAGGTTTGTCAGCTCTGCTAAGCACAGGAGACGTGAAGAGCACCTGCCGCTCCAGCACTCACGGGCTATTGGCTGGTGGGGTCAGCTCGCCATCGTAGCGGATGGCTAAGCTTCACAGTGAGAAAGTGGGGGAGGTGGAGCCAGGGAGACAGTTCAGTCAGCGAGGTGCTTGTTGTGCGAGCATGAGGACCTGAGCTCAAATTCCCAGCACCCACATAAAAACCCAGGAGCGGGGGACAGGGCAGCAGGCATCTGCAATCCTAGTACTGGAAAGGCGGAGACTGGAGGCTACTTCAGGTTTGCCTGCCAGACAGTCTAGTGCAATCAGCGAGCTCCAGCTTCAGTGAGACACCCTGTCTCTACGAGGAAGGTGGAGGCCTAGAAGACTCGAAGAGGCCTGGATTGGACCTTTGACCTTCACACTCATTCACCATACACACAGGCACAGCTGAATGCATGTGCACACAACACACACAGGGCATGTAATTTGAAGTCTAGGAGATACAAACCCTCCTGTGTGTGTCAGTTAGCACATTTTCCTTCTGACTTGAAATAAATGCAGACAAGTTTGACTTAATCTAGCTTCCTCCCACCTTTTGATCCAAAGGGATTTTACTCCTCCAGAAGCTTTCCCGTGCATCCGGAGCTTACCCAGGACTTAACAACCGGCTACCCAGCTCCTGCAGGGTTAAAATTTTAATGCTTCTCTGCTACTGGCTTTGACTAGGAGTCTTTTCATTACCATAGTTGGGAGCAGAGCAGGGGTCTATGTTAATTCCTGGGCTTCACTGTCTCTTTCAATGTGGATGAAGCTGACTTTCTGTTGTTCTGTGGCTTGGCAAAGACTGAGGAAGGATTTTTAAACTAAATCTCTGCATGTCGGTATTGTGAATCCCCTTGAATGTTTTTTCCTCTCGGAGATTTTCTGGGCAGCGCACATCTAACTGCAACCCTCTTTCCCTCTGCATAGAGAAATCCCTTGACTCTTCGCATCCATCTCCACGAAGCTGGTTGCTTTGATAAATACGGAAACTGCCTGAATGAAGCACGCGTGCCTGCTCCTCTTCTACTTTGTCGGAGACTTCTCGCTCTTATCGGAACACTCTCTTCCTCCAGAACATTTTGAAAAACATTTCAATAAAAGGTGTTACATAGCTCTGGGTTTGTTTGGCTTGTAAAATATAAAATATATTGAAATGGGCCTGAAGAAAAACGTGTACATAAAAGTTGGGATGGTGAGATGGCTCCTCAATTAAACATGTGACATTAAGAGGGATGATGTGTGGGATCACTCGTGTGTACACACACACACACACACACACACTACACTCAATTAAATACTGAGTATGGATCTTGAAGCATCTGTTTGGCAAATGTTGCAGCCTAGCTGGACAATTGCACGTGGTGACATCATAACATGTCACAGACCGTTTGCATTTTTAGCATGAGTTGTCGGCATCTGGGGCTAATGCATGGCTAGAGAGGAAGAAAGACTGTAAAACGCCCTGAGGATGCAGCTTTGAGACAGCAGGCTCTTCCTTCCCTCTGTCCTGACTGTCAATCAACTTATGTAAAAAGTATCCCAAAACCTAAGGGTGATCTAATCAGAGTTGCCATCAACTTACTAGGGTCGCTCAGGAGGCTCACGAGACAAAGTAGCTACAACAACCACTCTGTAAACTCAGTGTGAGGAAGATGGTGCAAGAATCAACCAGAAATCCTGACTCCAAATGTCGGTGTCTATAACAACAGATTCATTGATCTGACAATAATGTGTAAATGTTACAAATTTGTTCCTAGGGAGTTCGTTTGTATCAATAAAACCCTGTTATTTACTCTAGATAGAGATCTCACATAGGATTTTGATGAAATAACTTTTAAATTCGTCTTTATTGGTGAGTGTGGGTGTGTGCGCGCGAGCACGCGCGCACTCACACGCCACAGAGGTCATGTGGAGTTCCGAGCACCACTTCCAGATGTCAGTTCTCTGTTTCCACCTTGCATTCCAGGCACCAGCCTTGGGTCATCAGGTTGGCAAGGCAAATGCTTTCACCTGCTGAGCTATATCTCACCGACTCTGATTAAATCATTTTTAAATTTTATTCTATTAAAATAGGATCTCGTGTAGATCAGGCTGGCCTCACCTATAGAGTCAGTTTCTGATCCTCCTTCCTCTGTTTCCTGAGTACTGAAATTATAGCCATGTGCAACCAAGCCCAGTTTATTTGGTACTGAGAATCCAAGCACTCCACCAGTTGAGCCACAACTCTAGGCCCCTGTCAGCAGTTGTTTGTTTGTTTGTTTTCTTTCAAGTTTAAAATCAATTACAATAGCATGGATTCCATTTCAAATGGTTGAAGTACATATTCTGAGTCTGTAGATAATGCAAGTTCATGTTCATAACTTAATGTCTCTGAGAACTGATTTTCTGATCCACAAAGTAAAAAAGCAGTACTTTCTCCACTTACCACATACACATACTTAACATCAGAAGCGGGGTTTAGAATTAAAGTGGAAGTTCACGAAAGTTGTAAGCAGAACGAACTAGGGCAATAATGATACCAGACAAGGTTAAATCAAACTCTGTGGAGTTGAACCGGGGTTACCTGTGGTCAAAGGAGACCATAATACTTTTCAAGTTCCTTACATCTAAGGAATAAGATTATCTCTTATTACATAAGACAAGATAAATATTCACTGACATAATCCCATTATTTAGCTAAAAATAAATTTTGTTTCTGAGTCACAGAGTTTCACAGAAAACAGCAAAGCTCCAGCCACCTGGACCTTGTCCTATAGTGTGTAGCTCCTGGCCTGGATGGGCTTTCTGAACCACAGAAAACTGCAGGCTTGGACTACCATATCAAACGCTATTGCTACGCACAACCAGAAGGCCAATTACTTCAAGAACCCATACAGTAAAACAGAAACATCCAACTCCATTTTGGGCCAAGGGGATATGCTTTTTCGCTACAGTATAGACTGAACCCCGAGCCTGGAAATGCTGGGTAAGGGCATAGCACAGAGCCACACCCCAACTGCTGCTTTTGCTTTTAAGAGGTTTTCTGCTCACCTGAGACAGCTTGTGGAATGGGAAACCATGATGCTGCAGGTCCAGGCCAAGGCAAGGGTTCCTCAGAGGGATCCCCCGTTTTCTGCAGGTTCAAGTGATCTTCAACTCCTATAGAAATGAAATGGTTATTTTTTTTTTTTTAGCATCTCTTGCCTAGAAAAGTTCTGGAGCCCAATCAGATAAAGAAACTGGGATCAATGAATGTGAGGTGGCTGACAAGATGACTCAGCTGGTAAAGACAGTTGCCTCCACACATGCCAGTCTGGCTTTGATCCCCAGGTCTCCCACGGTAGGAGGAAACTAACTGATACAAATTGTCTTCTGATATCACCATGTACGCCTTGACAAACACCACACACACCATAAAACAAACAAATTAAAAATGCTAAATAAATATTAGTACATTTGCATTAATTAAAAAACCATACAATAGAAGCTATTAAAACAAAAAAAAATGCCACTTCCCAGTCACGGTGACCAGGATCTCCCAATTGGAAGGTGATACTGAATGAACACGAGGGAACAGCCTTTCAGGATACTCAGTTCAGTCCCTGACTGTGACAGCCAGTCTTCACTGGCAAGTTGAGGGTATTTGGAATCTCCTACAGGACACTGTGGACGCATTTCCCGAGAGGTTTAACTGAGGAAGAGCCAACCTGAATGTGGGGGGCACCACCCAGGGGCTGGGAATCCCAGACTAAATGCGAAAGGAAACAGAGAAACCCAAACGACCATCAGCTTTCCTCTTTCTCTGGGTGGGTCCTGATGGTGAGCACCGCGTGACCAAGCAGCTATGCTCTCACGGCCATGCCTTCCCTATCAAGATGGACCCCATCCTCTCCAACCATGACAGCAGACTACTCTTCCCTTAAGTTGATTCTATATTTGGTCACAGAAACAAAACAAGTAACTAATGTGCCGACCCACAGAAGATGCTCAGTAGATTACTCTCAGGGTGATGCCCTCCGGTTCTGGGGTGACGAGGGGTTCGCATTAGGCAAACTGTACCAGAAATCCAGTGGCTTCTGACTGGCTACCCGACCAGAAAAAAAAATCATTTGGGCAAGTCAGAATTTTGATAATATATAGTAAAAGTACTGCCTGTCAATTAAAAACTTAGCAGTTCTGACACAGGCTGCGGCATAGATGAACCTTAAGAAGAGCACTCCAAATGAAAGAAGCCAGACACAAAAGAATGCACACTGCATGACTCCATACACAGGTTACATATTCAGAATAGGAAACCACACAGAGACAGAGAGTAGATGAGGAGCTGCCAGGAGTAGAGGTGGAAGGTGGTAATGGGAAAATACACCGTTTGTTCCTTGGGTGTACTAAAATTAATAGTAGTAATTACACGACACTGTGAATAGACTAAAACCATTAAATTATTGACAAAATATGAAAAATCGCTCAATAAAACAGCTTCAAAAGTACTGCCTAGGGCTGAGGATAAACTCAGAGATAGAGTTCTAGTTTAGTGTGGATAGGACTCTGGGTTCAACTCCCAGCACAGAAACAAAAACCCTACATGAAATACCAAAGGTGGGGGCTGCAGATGTAGGTCATCTGGTAGAATGTGTCTACATGCACAAAACCCTGGGTTCCACCCTGTCACTATGTAAAATAGGAAGGGTCAATCCTAAGTAAACACTTGAAACATATTCCCCAGCACAGTACAGTCTGATGGGTATCATCAGCTCCATCTTACACACGAAATGTTTAGATCACAGCTAGAAGAGTTGTCTCCTTGAACACAGGTTATGGAATCAAGAGAAGAACACTGTAGATTCAAATGCATGCCTGTGATCCTACCACAGGTGGTCATGCAGATCAAACAGGGAGGCATGTGAAATGCGTGTGGCCAGTGGCTGGCACATAGTGGCACTGATTTAAGAGTAGCTCTGGTGATACTTATGCAGAAAGGAGCAAAGGGACACTTAAGAGTATGTTATGACCTTAAGATTAAGTAGAGAGAATACCTCCCCTACAAACACTACTTTATTCAGGTGTCCTTACCAAACAGAACTTCTAAGTACTTGGCAAGCAAGGCATAAGTCTGAAAGCAAAGCATAAATAGCCTCAGAAGGGCCAGGACGGGAGGTTTGCATGGAATGTGATGGAACTCTGAAGGAGAGGATGGCCTGCCCCTGCACCTCCCTCTGCTCCTTTCAGGAAAGACAGATGCATGGAGCCAGGATACAGTGTGGGTGCAGACACGGGACAGATGACACCCTCTCACGGAAAGGCAGACTTTTCAAAGATCATTGCTCTCCACATTCTCGGGATGGCAGGGTTGGGAGGTAAATAATTATGAGGATTTACAAAACTGAAACGGAAAAGCATGAGAACTGGACAAGCCTATCCACAGGGGGAAGGAATCCAGATTTTAAGTTCCCAGCAGCCCTTTCTGGAGCTGTAAAGAAAGGAAAGCCTCTTAGCTGTAATCTCTCCTAGTTGCCCATCAGCAGCTCATGAAGTGACTCATGGTATTGAAGACCCTTCCCATCTTGACTGTCCGCCAGAGGTTACAGTGTGATCTACGAGGAAGAAGGCCTGCAAACCAGATCTCTTAAAGAGTCTTCTGCATCCCGGCACAGCCTTCAGCCTGTTGGCTACAGGGCAGGTACGCAGCAAGGTAAGACACCGAACTTGGAAGACAGAACAAGTTTTGCCAAGCTCCTAATAACCACAGGCTAATAAATATTCACTCAACAAGAGATGTGCTTGGGTCTTCTCCACAGTGCTAAGGCAGGAGATGGGGGAGGCATCAAGTTTAGCATACAAAGGCTAAGAATGAAAACTTTCGACCAACATATGATATATAATAAATACAAAGGACAGAGCATGCTGGAGAGTGGGGTGCATGAAAGGGCCTAGAAAGAGGGCTCTAATGGCCTAGGGCTATTGAACTTGTAACCTTCACCACACCCAGTTTGGGCAGTGCCGGGAACTGAACCAAGAGCCTCAAGCATCTGAAAGAGGCAGGCATTGCACCAGCTGAGCTAGCTCATGAGTGCCAGAAAGCAAGTAAGATTATCCACACAACGTGAAAACAGCTTTAAATCAACCACCGCTGCTGCCCCCATCCTGATCTCCCTCTGTGGGTATCTATGCTTTCAGGTCTTTATCCACCCGAAGAAAGGCTTCCACTTGCATGCCATTTAAAACATGGCTTCTTTCGTCTGTGCCCTACCCCTTTAAAATGGATATTTGGAGTATGTGGTCACAGAATACACTGATAGGGAAAAATAAACACAATGGCGTTGGAGGCACAATTATGTTTTGAGAAATGTAAAAAGAAATTAACTGCACAATTTTAAAAAATGGAAGGCCCTACTCTAGTATGTCTTTTGACTAATTTCTTGACAGGAGTTCTGGTTTGGATTTTGGGTTTTGAGACAGTCTTACTATATAATAAAGCAGACTGACCTTGAACTTTTGATCCTCCTCCTGCCTCAGGCTTTAAAGTTCTAGAATCCAGATGCCTAGCTTGATTTGAGTGGCCATCACCACCTACTGTTGAAGAGCTTACATAGGGAGAACGGCCAGTGCTCTCATTGACTCGGGGCTCACACTGGCTTCCATGAGGTGTCTATTCACCCAGCTCCGCTAGTCTAGCTGTGAGTCCCCTCCACCCATAGAGACATGAAATTCATTTTGTGGGTCATGACGAGGAATTTACTAACAGGCAAAATGAATAAAGGAGAGGAGAGACAGCAGTGTTTATCACACATAGGGAGGCCATGCCTCACTGTGGTTTACAGCCGGGCAAGTTCAAAGTTCCCTCTCAGAAAGGCCAGGTGCAGTGAAGGATTAGAGCTTACGATTGTGTGGAGTAAAAAATGAGAAGCCCAGTAAAGCCCGTTCTCTAAGACCCTGTAAAGCAGCGCCAGGGATTTTGATGAGATGCGCAAGAAAGAGCCATTGTTAGCTCTGGCGGGAAGGGAGCCCAGTAAAATGAGGTTCCTCGAAGATACTTTAGGTAATAGAGGGCTAAGCCATTGAGTCAACAAGGGCTCTATTGGGGCTGAGTCTCCTTCTGAGGTTTGCTCATGATTTACAACTTTGAACACAATGTCTAACAATGCAGTTTCTGCAGCAGTGGATGCTCCTGAGGAGTTGGAGATCTCACCTTTTCTCGGATCCAGAAAGATTAAGGGAAAGCTGAATATGCCTGCTGATTGTCTCCTGATTTGTTTCTGTCACAGTCCCCACACCCTGGGAGGCCACAGGGCTCGAGACAATAGAAGCAGTATGGCAGATCCAAGCCAGAGCTGAACACAATCCCCTCAACTCCTAAAGACACCAGCGTGCCCTGACCTATGACACAACAGCACTGTCCCATGCGCGGAGTGTTCTTCCTGCCCTTTATCCTCATGGTATGAACAAAGCCCCTTCCTGACTCACCTGGTTCTGAAGAGGTGGTTCTGCTCAGCCCCTCAAGTCAACACCAGAGGGGCCCAACCCCAGGTCCCTGTTCTTCCCCCCTCAGCCCTTATTCCCACACACGTGCCAGGAACTCACACAAGGTAAAGCAACCACCCAGACAAACAAACTCACTAGTCCCTGGGTACAGGAAGTGACTCATGAGCAAAGAAGTAGGGTCAAGGATTTTAGACGGAGCCTGGCTATGTCCCAGGCACCCGTGTCTCTGTTATTAGGGAAACTGGAGAAGATCGACAAACACCTTTCACTAGGCTCCTGAGGTGGTACACAGCATGTTGTACAACCCTCAGCCAAACTGGGAGACGAACATCTGGATAATGGACGAACAAGGACAAGGGAAAAGGGCTGATCATGGATGAAGGCTTCCAGAGTCAAGGACCTCAATGTGTTTGGAATGGACAAACCTAGTCCTGTAAAAAGAACCAAAGGATGGCAGAGAGCTGAGGACTAAGGGTCCAGATGTGCTCTGTGGCGAGCCAGGCGGTAGAAACCAAGGTCTGGGGCCCCGAGCAAAGAAGATCCTGCCTAGCGAGGTGGCAGCTGGACAGGACAAAGGTGTCTCCACACCCCAACTGAGAAAACACTGTGAATGGGAGGGAGCTTTGGAGAAGGAGACAGCTGCCAGGAGCGAGGGCTAAAAGCAAGAGGCAGAAAATGAG